GGGAAAGTCGGTTATCGTAAGACGTCTGGAGACGGGTGAGATTTGCCCTATCTGCGATTCGGAACTCGGCTGCTGGGAGCACGACTACTGTCTCCTGCGGAGAAACGCTCCTGCCTTCTTCCCTGAAACTGGCAGGCGGCCCAGCGGGGGAGCGGCCGGAGCGGCGGGAGCTGGGCGCCGGGCGCAGCGCACCACGCCGCGGGTCTATGAAGGTCCTTCCCACGGGCGGGGGCCCGACCCGGCGCCCGGAGCCTGAGGCCAGGCCGGAGGACGTCGTGGAGGAAGCGGTTCCTGCCGTGCCCCCGGCTCCACCCCTGCGGGGCGCGCCCGCGGCGGGGCTGCCGCCGGACCCCCAGGATCCCTGGGAGGGCGAGGAGGACGCGGAGCCCGGCGAGCGGCGGGGCGGGCGGACCAGCCGCACCGCGTCCCTGGTGAGCGGGCTGCTCACCGAGCTGTACAGCTGCACCGAGGAGGAGGAGGCGGCCGGCGGGGGCCGCGGGCCCGGGGGCCTCCAGCGGCGCCGCGACAGCCTCGACAGCTCCACCGAGGCCTCGGGCTCCGACGTGGTCCTGGGCGGGCGCGGCGACTCCCGGGAGCTGCAGGAGCTGCGGGAGCGGCCGAGCCAGCAGCACCAGCGCCTGTACCTGCGGCAGAAAGGTGAGGGGGGGGGGGGGCTGCCGGAGGGGGGTCCTGCCCGAGGGGCGGGCCTGCCGGAGGGGGAGCGGCCGCAGCCCCCCAGCCCCGCGCGCCCGGGCCCCCGCGCCCGCCGGTGCGCACCCGGACTGAGCCGTCTAGCGCACAGATGTTAAGTTCGGGGTGTCTCCATTGATGGGTCGCTGGCGTCCACAGTGTCACGGAAACACGATTAGACGTATTTCTTATCGTCTCCCCGAGCCGCATCCCCTTGGAGCCGTGGAGCGGAGCCTCCGTTGTTGGCGTGGCAGCAGCGGTCTCCACCCCGCCCCGTGTGTTTGTGGAGGCTCCAAGGGGAGGGGCAGTCCAGGGTCTAATGTCGCCACAACAGCTGTTAGGACAGGTTTGGAGTTTCTGATAAGTACACGTGAAGTGACTTAGGGCGCTGGGGGCAGTGAGGCATCTAGGGGCTTTTGTTTTTTTTGTTTTGTTTAAATCAGCGGTTCTCAACCTGTAGGTCGCGACCCCTTTGGGGGGTCGAATGACCCTTTCACAGGGGTCGCCTAAGACCATCGGAAAACACATATAATTACATATTGCTTTTGTGATTAATCACTATGCTTGAATTATGTTCATTTTGTAACAATGAAAATACATCCTGCGTATCAGATATTTACATTACTATTCATAACAGTAGCAAAATTACAGTTATGAAGTAGCAACGAAAATAATTTTATGGTTCCACAACATGAGGAACTGTATTAAAGGGTCGCGGCATTAGGAAGGTTGAGAACCACTGGTTTAAATAATGCGCCTCCCTGGCCACACTACTGGGATAGTGTTTAACTAGCGAGGCAGAATAATTCCATAATTCGGTTTCAAAGCAGAACGTGTGAATTCCATTTCCGCCGGAACGTCTGGTTTCAAGAAGCTCACTAGGTGGACTTTTCATTAGTGGAGGGCCCTAGAGTGTTGGCATTAGCACTTGGAGAATGTTGACATTATCAGTTGGAGAGGCCATCTGAAAATGGCCTTGGTTTTCAGGGGGAGAGGAGAATTTGTTGTTTCTTTTGTTATCAGACTCTGATGCTGTGTCCTAATTGAGATCCCCCCTCCCCCTCAACTGCTAATAAGTAGTTTGCCCTTCAGGCACTAACACAATTACTACAGTTGTCTTTTTTTAAATAGGTATGTCATGACTTCAATTTACAAAATGAAGTGAGGTGTGGAAAACATGCTAAACCACAACAGTTCTTGAATTCATGTCCTTGTGCTAAACTACCAGGAGAGAGGGGAAAGAGAGGATGCATAAGATAATAATATCCTGTCTCCTCTAATTGAAAAATCAGACTAGCTGTTGCTAGAAAACAAAAGAAAAGAAAAAAAAAAAAACTAACCAGAAAAGGAATAAATCTGTCTGCTTTCTCAAATCTATGTAAACAGCTTTCAGCTTCCTCTTTGGGCTTCCCAGTGAAGATTTTTCCCCCCAGCTGATTGTTACAAACGACTTCCACCTTCCTCCCCCTGCCTGGGCCTTGGCTGGAGTTGTGCCATTTCATTTGATACAATTATTTGGCTGTTCACCCAGCGTCTGTTTATGCCTAGAGTTCCGCAGGGCAATAGTTCTTTTAGAATCCAACAAAATCAGTTTTGAAGAATTATGATTTGGCTTTTCATTACAGAGCAAATTTGGAGGATTAGTAATTTCCTTTTGGAGGAGGAAATATGGCAAGCTAATTTTTAAAGAAGTAACAGTACAGCTTTGCAAGTGGATTTCAAACAAGTGACCACTGTAGTAATCATTCTTTTTTCTTAAAATTTAAATTCTTTATTGTTTAAAGTATTATGTAAGTCTCCTTTTCCCCCCATTGACCACTCCCTGGCTGCCCCCACCCCCCAGCACATGCCCTCACCCCTCAACCCCCTGTCTGTGTCCATTGGTTATGCTCATATGCACGCATGCAAGTCCTTTGGTTGATTTCTTACCTCCTCACCCCCTGTCTTCCCTCATAGGCTGGACAGTCTGTTCAATGCTTCTATGACTCTGGTTCTATTTTTGTTCATCAGTTTATGTTGTTTATTATATTCCACAAATGAGTGAGATCATGTGATATTTATCTTTCTCTGACTGGCTTATTTCACTTAGCACAGTGGTTCTCAACCTGGGGGTCGAACGACCCTTTCACAGGGGTCGCCTAAGACCATCAAAAAACACATATCTACACTAATAAAAGAGAAACATGGTAATTAGCGTACGACCGCTACCCTTTTCATTGGCTAATCAGTGAGTATATGCAAATTAATCGTCAGCCAAGATGGCGGCTAATTTGCATATGTCGGCTCCAAGCCACAGATTGAGGCTTTAGGCCTGGGTAAGGGAGGAGCCAGCCAGCGATCATTGAGCCAGCGATTGTTGATGGCAGCGGAGGTGGGGAACCAGGGCGGAGCCAGCCAGCGATCAGCTGAGGAGGGAGCTGGGGGTCCCCAGTCCAGGCCTAACACCTTGGCCAGAGGCTTTAGGCTTGGGCCAGGGAGGAGCCAGCCAGCGATTGTTGATGGCGGCGGAGGCGGGGAACCAGGGTGGAGCCAGCCAGCAATCGTTGATGGCAGCTGCGGGCAGCTGGGGGTGCCCCGGCCCAGGCCTAAAACCTCGGCCTGAGGGTTTAGGCCTGGGTCAGGGAGGAGCCAGCCAGGGATCGTTGATGGTGGTGGCGGCCCGAACTGGGGCGCAGCCAGCCAGTGATCCTTGATGGCCACGGTGGCTTGGAGCTGAGGGTGCCCTGGCCCAGGGCTAATGACTCGCCAGAGGCGTTAGGCCTGGGCAGGGGCCAAACCAGCAATTGGTGTGAACTACAGAGGAAACACCTTTTCTGACTGCTGATTGGTTAAGCTCCCTATATGCCACTGGTAATATTCTTAGTAACTTGGGTAATAAGAGTCCAAAAAGTGATCTAGGGTTTTTTTTACCTCACTCCTGGAGAAAAAAATGAAGGTCTGCTGCTGGAGGGTTAAGAAATGTCATATCCTGTCCTAGCCAGTTTGGCTCAGTGGATAATGCCTCGGCCTGCCCAACGCAGATTCTGGGTTCAATTCTGACCAAGGGCATGTACCTAGGTTGCAGGTTCCTCCCTGACTCCGGCCCAGGTCAGGGCTCATGCAGGAGGCAACCAATCAAAGTGTTCCTCTCACTTTGATGTTTCTCTCTGTCTTTCCCTTTCTCTTCCACATTCTCTAAAAATCAATGGAAACATATCCCCAGGTGAGGATAAAGAAAGAAAGAAATGTCATATCCTATGAAAGACACTTCTTGAAAATGCCTAAAGAAAGTTGTCATTTTTTCATGGTAAAGGGACTGGAGTCCGTGTTGATGAAAACACCTTGGTGGCTGCGGTGACTGGCAGTGGCTGCAGCAGCGGGGTGATGGGGCTGGTGCCTACCCCTGATCAGCCCAGTTGCCTTCCACAAAGGGAGGCCAGACTGCGGCTTAGGCCTGCTCCCCAAGGGGAGCAGGGAGCAGGTAGTAGGACACCCCCTAGGGCTCCCAGTATGTGATAGGGGGCAAGCTGGGCTGAGGGAACCCCCTCCCCAGTGCACAAATTTTTGTGCTCCGGGCCTCTAGTTGAATATATAATTGCATATTGTTTTTGTGATTAATCACTATGCTTTAATTATGTTCAATTTGTAACAATGAAAATACATCCTGCGTATCAGATATTTACATTACGATTCATAACAGTAGCAAAATTACAGTTATGAAGTAGCAACGAAAATAATTTTATGGTTGGGGTCACCACAACATGAGGAACTGTATTAAAGGGTCGAGGCATTAGGAAGGTTGAGAACCACTGACTTAGCATAATGCTCTCCAGTTCCATCCATGCTGTTGCAAATGTTAAGAGTTCTTCTCTTTTACAGCAGCGTAGTATTCCATTGTGTAGATGTACCACAGTTTTCTATAATAATCATTCTTAAGATATATAAGAGTCTGCTTTGCCCAGGTCTCAGTCTTATTGCATGGTTAGTTGCTTGTTAATCTTTTCTTGCAGTCAACCCTGTTAGGATGAACAAGGTACCATATTCTAGCCCTGACCGGTTTGGCTCAGTGGATAGAGCATTGGCCTGAGGACTCAAGGGTCTCAGGTTCGATTCCGGTCAAGAGCATGTACCTTGGTTGCGGGCACATACCCAGTAGGGCGTGTGCAAGAGGCAGCTGGTCGATGTTTCTCTCTCATCGATGTTTCTCTCTATCCCTCTCCCTTCCTCTCTGTAAAAAATCAATAAAATATATATTAAAAAAAGATACCATATTCTAATAGCCATGCCCCCTCCACCTTTATCAATAAACATCATTAGAGTACTAAGAAAAAAATAATCAGGTGATGGAAACAGCTGTCTGCTTAATTTTACAGCTTATTAGGTTACCTGGTTTTTTTTTTTTTCAGGGTAAAAAAAAAAAATCAACATAGTACCTAGTAGGAGTCTCATATAATGCAGATAACCTGTGTATTAATTCTCCCTTTTTTTCTGTTAGAGATTTTGCTGTAGCATCGATGTAGCACCTATTTTTACATATTTCGCATGTGTGGGTCCTTTATTTATTTGAGGCACCAAAATCGTTTCTCAGGAAATCTACACTCTTCTCAGTGTTTTCATTAAGGGATGAACTTTGGAGTCAAATGCTTAAGCTGATATCCTGCTACTGTTCCTTACTAACAGTGGGACCTCAGGCAAGCTATTTAACCTCTCTGTCTCATTTCTCTCACTTATAAGTAGGGATAATAATAATATCTACTTCACAGGACTGTACTGAGAATTATATAAGTTAATGTGTATAGCGTGCTCAATAAGTGTTAGATATAATAATAATATTTATTATATACACTGGGATTCCTTAGAAAGAAAATTGTCCATTGTTTGTCACTTGATCTCATTTTTCCTATTTATTTAAAACTGTGTTAGGAGCTGTAGCTGATGCCGTGGGGCATACAAAGGTAAAGAAGACTTTATTCCTGTCTTTGGGATGCTTGTATACCAGCAAATCATGCTGTAGGTTTCCAAACTGAACTCTGAAGATTTTCCCATATTGGACAACACATATAATTCAGAGACCCACAGAGCTGTAGGTACCTTAAGAGTCGCTGAAAAATGACTGTTTTGTGGAAGAAAGTATAATTTAAATGCAAGATGATAGTCCTACCCCTAGAACAGTGGTTCTCAACCTTCTGGCCCTTTAAATACAGTTCCTCATGTTGTGACCCCCAGCCATAAAATTTTCTTTTCTTCTTCATAACTGTAATTTTGCTACTGTTATGAATCGTAATGTAAATATCTGATATGCAGGATGGTCTTAGGCGACCCCTGTGAAAGGGTCGTTCGACCCCAAAGGGGTCTCGACCCACAGGTTGAGAACCGCTGCCCTAGAAGGAAAAATTTTAAACATTCAAAGAAAGGCTACCTGCTCTCTCTGAAGGAATCTAAGAATGAAGAGCCTCTGATCTCCTCTGGTAGCTGGTTCTCATAGTTGACCATTCTTAGAACCCAAGTAGTTTCATTTAACCTAAGTGAGCTCTGATTTCCCATGACATGCCACCGTGTTTGAACTCAGGGTGAGAGAAATAACTGGTCTGTGTTCTCTTCTTCATAGACATTCCTTCTTCTTATTTTAGTGCTATTTATGTTAATGTTTATAAAGAGTATTCACATTTGTTTCTCAGAATAATCTCGTTTTCTAAGCATAATTTGAGTCTTTGAGCACGACCTTGCCTGAGATCACACAGATAGTTGGTTGGTCCAAAGGAAGTTCTTGTTCACTCAAGGTCAATTAGCATTTTCCAAATGACGTGGTCAGCTATGACAGAGGTTAAAGCAACGCCCTGCACTTCTTATACAGACTCAAAAAGTTCACTTCCTCTGACCTCTGAAGTACTTTTCTTACTTTTGTTCTCTTCTGATCCTGCCTAGTTTCTCCAAATCATTTTCAACGTGAGTAGATCCAACCCCCACACAGGACCTCTACTGAGGGCCTCGCCAGTGCCAAGCTGAGCAGAAGGCTTTCCTGCCTGGCTGTTCACACTGTAATGACTGACGGTCATGTCAGGAGTGGCAAACAACACTCCCAAATTGTAATGGTCACTCACATAAAGACTGTTGACATCTCTGATTCCCAAGTCTTTTGTTCACTTGTAGAAAACTGCTGTTGAGAATATTAGCTTTATGAATATAGAATTATTTTTAATTTATTCATTTAAAGGAAATTTACTTTCTGCACATTTGAAAAATTACTGAGTTTCGAAGATGAGATATTGTACCTAATATTCAAGCTATTGGAAGACTGTATATTTAAAATGAAAAAAGTATTTTCACATTTATCTGCATTAGAAAATGGTAGTATTATTTACTTTTGATTGATTACTTACAAACAAAGGTGAATACTTTAAAAAATATTTATCAGGCCCTAACTGGTTTGGCTCAGTGGATAGAGCGGACTGAAGGGTCACAGGTTTGATTCCGGGCAAGGGCAGGTGTCTTAGTTGCAGGCTTGATCCCAGGTCGTGGTTGGGGCCCGTGCGGGAGGCAAACAATCGATGTGTCTCTCTCTCACATTGATGTTTCTCTCTCTCTGTCTCTCCCCATCCTCCCTCTCTTCCACTCTCTTTAAAAATCAATGGAAAAATATCCTTCAGTGAGGACTAACAACAACAACAAAATATTTATCAAGTCTATCTTTGATGCAACAGACTCGAAAAGATTATTTTCTTGCAGCTTAGTCTCTAAGTACATTGATGATACCAAATATACATGCCAGTTTTCAAGCTATGAAAGGCAAATTTGCAACCAGAGCTAAATATGGTAAAAGTTAAGAGTCTTGCTTACATATTACAGGTGGATAAAATTTATTTTACAGTATTTGTCTCATTGACAGGGCAAGAAATGGATGAGTGACTTATTTGATTAGAATATCTTAACTGAATACTGAGTGAGAACCCAGAATTACCTGCATGGATGTTCTAGAATCTAGATAATTATCTTACGATTAGTATCATGTTGGCATTTGTATTCCTCTCAGGGTGTTTATTGTTCTATTTTAAATCTTCTTTTCTAATAGACACTAATGAACTGAAGACGATCCTCCGAGAGCTTAAGTACAGAATTGGCATTCAGTCGGCGAAGTTACTCCGGCAGCTGAAGCAGAAAGATCGGCTTCTGCATAAAGTCCAGAAGAACTGCGATATTGTGACGGCGTGCTTGCAGGCCGTGTCACAGAAGAGAAGTAAGTGCTGGAGTGGGGTTAGCCCTTTTGCCACATGCGACTGGAATGGTAGTGAGCTGAGTCAATAGTCGTTGTGTTTTTGAATCTGTTGAAAAGTTTTAAATGGAAATTTATCCCCTCAGAACTAAGAACTACCAACAACTCGTACAGCTTCCTGTTTTTTTTCAGTTAAAATGTATTTTGCATGTCTGAGGTTACAAACTTAGTTTTCTTTTTTTTTTCAAACTTAGTTTTCTTATTCTCTATTTGCAGCAGCACTTCACTGTGACATTGGTTATTTTTACATGATGCTACACAATGACAAAAATCTTTATTCTAAAAACAGTACCCAATAGATACAACCTAAAAGGCATATCTTTGTTTTCGTATTCTCTTTGTGCTTAATAAGTGAATTAAAAACTGATTTAAAAGGAAACTCCTGTAACAGGACCTTACAACTTGCTCTGAGTCCTGGAAAGGACAAAATATTTTAACAAACCCATCTAGTAGGTAACCCGGTCATAACTAAGAGATGCATGGTTTGTTAATTGAGTTAAAAATTGTTAAATTGCTAATGCATGTCAAATACCAGATAAAAGCTTGTGAATTAATTTTGTAATTCTCCATGCAGTCGTTTTATGTTCTATTCTGCTAACATTTCCCTATTTTTGTTTTGTATTCTTTATTAACATGCAGCATGGCAGAACAGTATGTTCAGGTATGGTAAATATAGGCACCAACAAAGTGTTTTGCTAAAACACCTGTGGCAACTTTATAGGTGCATGTGAAAGTTGCCTCTTCCTGTTCCTTTACTCTGTCACATTTTACATGTAAAGTGACACTTCCTAGAGTCACTTTAATTTTAATTCCAAACTAAGATGCATTTCTTTTCATAAAACAATTTTCAGGGCGTGGTTAGTTTTAGATTACATTAATGGTTACATTCTATTCTTATGTTTATTATTAAAAGACAGTTCTATGTTTTCTTCCTCCTCTTTGATTATATCACTGTTTGTTATCCCTAAATTCTTCTTCTTGCTGTTCACTAAAGAAGGTTTCAACCTAATGTGTATTAAATACAATGCTGCTTGATTATCGTAATGACATAATGGTCCATATGAGAAACAGGAATGTAGTTGAGTAGACTTTTTTTGAAAGGTATATATATTTTAATTGATTTCAGAGAGAGGAAGGGCGAGGGAGAGAGAGAGATAGAAACATCAATGATGAGAGAGAATCATCGGCTTGGCTGCCTCCTGCACAACCGCCACTGGGGATGGAGCCCACAACCCAAGCATGTGCCCTGACTGGGAATTGAAGCGTGACCTCCTGGTTTGTGGGTCAGTGCTCAACCACTGAGCCACATGGGCTGGGTGTTGAGGAGACTGTTTTTGAATAGAGTTTTCTCCAGAGCCAGGCACTTATCTGAAATAGCTAGTGAAGGAAGAGGGTATAGATATATACACCAAGTAACCAGATTATTATGACCACCCCATCAGTACTTCATTGACACTTCCAAAAATACTGAATATTGAAAACTTCCTAATCAAATACTCTCAAGGTTTTATTATTATTATTATTATTATTATTTTCATAACTAATTCACTTCATTGTACTGATGAGGTGGTCATAATAATCTGGTCACTCAGTGTAGATGTGTTTATATGTATGTTTATCTATAAAACATTGGCAAGCATTATAGGTATCTGCTGTTTTTCCATGGATTCTGATTGATTCACAAGTGCCCAGTAAATATGTTATTATTTTCCTCTTTTATTTTAAGATGAAAGTTTCGATTCTGATATTTCTCTTTTCACAATTGTGTTTTCACCTACCCATTGTTGTTGCTTGTATCAGAAGTTAAAAGCACTAAGTGGTAAGTGCACTTTGTGGTAAGCGGAGTGTGGATGTGTGGGAAAGCATCGGGGACATGGAGCCAGTGTCAGGAGACCGAGAGGAATGTCAGGCTGGCACAGGACCATGGGCTGATGAATACCAGGGACTGAGTCATTTAGGATTTGAACCTACTTGCCTGATGAAAGGACCAGCATTTATGTCTTGTAGAAAAATGTGTCCATAAGCATCAGTTTAACTTGTAAATTGGTGAATGCACACTTCCCATGTACTTTAGGGTTTGTCTCTTTAATTCTAGACAGGGCTTTGCATTTCAGACAATATAGGGTTAATGGCTCTTTTCCTTGGGAGTTTAAGTCTCACCTTGGTAATAAGACTCTGTTAAATGGAACAGAATATATTTTGTTGACTTAAGGAATAACGGTGCATCAAAATGATCATTTTCATCATATAATATTGTTTTATGATGTAGATAGACGGTGTTAGAAATTTGATTAGGTGGTTCTTTTAATTCCCTTTTAGATCTCCAGAGGTTAGATGTTTTGTGAGTAAATGCCTGCTTCCAGTAGTTGCACTTTTTGCCTCTTTCCTCAAGGTCCAGTAATAACAATTAGAGTTGTGGAGAATTGAGATTTAACTATCACACTGAGCTTTCTGCTGGGGTTCAGCAGAAATTTACATAATTTTAGTAGTGATTGGCACTGATGCATTCAAATGTTGACTCATTTACATTTAATATGCAAAAATCCAGATAACCTTTTTCCCCCCACATGGATTCAGTGCTTATAGTTCTTTCCATGAGTGACTTTCCTCCTTCCATAACTTGCTGTGGAATAAAACTATTTTAATGTTTATTAAAATGGGTTATTTCCTGTTGATAAATTAAAGGGGAATAGTAATTTTGAAATAAGAATCATAAGTAAGTGTGGATTATGAACCAAAATGACTAGGTCATTTTTATTTCTAACACAGATGATATAACTATGTAGACTTTATAGTTTCCTACACTAAGCCTTATGGTAGAAAACATTTATTTTAAAACAGGTGGGAATAAGAAAAGCAGGATCAAAACTTGCCTCATAGAAGAGCAGATTTCCCCCTTATGTTTATCCATTCATCTAAGGATAATCATGGTATAACCAGTTTAATATTAATAATAAAATCAATGCCCTAGCTGGTTTGGCTCAGTAGATAGAGCGTCGGCCTGTGGACTGAAAGGTCCTCGGTTCTGTTCCGGTCAGGGGCACATGCCCGAGTTGCGGGCTCAACCCCCAGTAGGGAGCATGCAGGAAGCAGCCAATCAATGATTCTCTCTCACCATTGATATTTCTATCTGTCTCTCCCTCTCTCTTCCTCTCTGAAATCAATAAAAATATAAAAAAAAATAAAATTAATAAGAATGGCAGCAGCTGTAACCATTCATTATATACCTGCTTTCTGCCAAAATGTTGGTTTTGTCTCTCATAGCAATTCAAATAAAGTATGTATCTTTAGGCACATTGTGTTAGGAAACTGAGAATCAGAAAGTTTAATTTGCTAAAGTCTCATAGATAAGTGGTTGAGATGGAATTTGAAGATAGCTATCTCAAAAGTCCACTCTTTCTACCATAAATTGTGACAAGAGGGTTCTATTTCTTAGCCATTAATTGATACTTCTGTAATATTATTAGAATACTAGAGGCCTGGTGCACGGATTCATGCACCAGTGGGGTCCCTCGGCCTGGCCTGTGGGATCGGGCTGAAACTGGCTCTCTGACATCCCTGGAGGGGTCTTGGATTGCGAGAGGGCACAGTCCAGGCCGAGGGACCCCACCAGTGCATGTTCGAGGCCGGGGAGGGATGTGGGAGGTTGGCCAACCAGGGAGGGATCTCGGGAGGGCTCCAGGGCATGTCTGGCCCCGTCTCACTCAGTCCCGATCAGCCGGACCCCAGCAGCAAGCTAACCTACCAGTTAGTGTCTGCCCCCTGGTGGTCAGTGCATGCCATAGCAAGTGGTTGAGCGGCCTTAGCATATCATTAGCATATTACGCTTTGATTGGTTGAACGGACGATCAGACAACTGGACACTTAGCATATTAGGCTTGTATTATTTAGGACTAGAGGCCCAAAGCATGAAATTCATACAAGAGTAGGCCTTCCTTCCCCCGGCTGCCAGCACTGGCTTCCTTCTGGCACCTGAGACCCGAGCTTCCCTCCAGCCGCCAGCACATGGGACCCAGGCTTCCCTCGCAGCCCAGGCTTTGTCTGGAAGGACGTCTGGTCTAATTAGCATACACTTTTATTATTATAGATGGGTGGAACAATAAGAAATTTGTAACATGCATAGGACATAATACAATTTTCAGGTTTATGTATTCTGAATATGAGTCTTTGTCAGATATATGTGCTGCAAATACCTTTTCCATTGATTTTTTTTTTTTAGAGAGAGTGGAAGAGAGAGGTAAAGACAGAGAGAAATATCGATGTGAGAGAAACACATCGATTGGTAGCCTCCTGCATCCCCTGACCAGGGCCCAGGCTGGGGACGAGCCTGCAACCAAGGTACATACCCTTGACCAGAATTGAACCTTTGGTCTGCAGGCCGATGCTCTATCCATTGGCCAAACTGGCTAGGGCTCTGCTGTTGCTTTCTCAAATTTCTTAATAATTTTTGAACAAGGGGTCCACAAATTATGTAACTAGTTTTGCCTTTATGGCTGGTACTTTTTCTATCCTGTTTAAGAAATCTTTCAATAGCAAACTCATGAAGAATTTCTCCCACATTATTTCCTAGAAGCTTTATTATTTTGTTTTCATATCTAGATCTAGATCCACCTGGAATTGATTCATTATGCTGTGTAACATGAAATAGGAGTCCTATTTCATTTTGTCCACATGGATATCTAATTGACTCAGCCCTGTTTATTGAAGAAACCATCCTTTTATCATTGCTCTGGGGAGCCATCTACACTAATAAAAGACAAAGATGCTAATTGACCATAACTTCGCTATGCCCAACCCACGCCCACCAGCCAATCAGAGCGACTATATGAAAATTAACCCAACCAAGATGGTGGCCGGCAGCCATGGAGCTGGAGCAAGCAGGAGGCTTGGTTGCCCTGGCAATGGAGGAAGCCAAGCTTCCCGCCTGCTCTGGCCGGCTGTGGCCTCCGCAAAAGGCAACAAAGTTTC